ACAGATGGCATTTTCCAGTGATTCATTTTGTTTTATGTCACATCAACCTATATATTATGGCACAACAGGCTTTAACTGTGACGTAGCTTTTCTTTATGTGCCAAATTCATACTTGGCTTAGAGATTATGACAAGCGGCAGTGAATGAAAGAAACTTAGACTCTCTCTTAATGTTTCATTAGACCCAATGTCATTTAAATGCTGGATATGTTAAATTTTTAATAAAGGCAGTGAGTTAGAGTTTTGTTTTCCTTGGTGACTTGTTTGGTATTTTATTAAAAAAGCATTTCTTGCAGCAGTCAGTTTTTTCTTGTTTTGAACCTTGGGCTTATTGTGGTGTGGGAACACTTGGCCTTTCCCCAAGAAAGATGTTGTTGACTTCTCAAGAGTGGAGGAATTCAGCATTTTTGTGATGGCACAGACTTCTAAAAAAAATTTAATATAATGCAAAACTTTGTTAATATGTCAACAGGAAGAGCTGGGAATATTTAACTTTTTGAAGGCTTCTTACATGCTGGCAAACATAACTATTTCCTCTGATCTGTTTGTCATCTTAGGAAGTCTTGAACTTTTAAGGGTTTCACACTGTTCTCAGTTTTCTCATCTTGTTTCTATTGAATCAGTTGCAAGACAAACCTGTTATCCTCAGAACATTAGGGTGAGTAATGCTTCACACCCTTCTCTTTCTAATGAGGTAAATATGTAGAGGCTTTTCCATCATGCCCAAGCTAAGTATCTGAGAGATCACAGTAAGTGGTTCACAGAATATTGATGTTAAACAGCTAACATGTCAGTTAATATTAGATAAAGCTTAAATAGGCTAGAAGGAGGTGGATGAGATTGTCCTGATGAGCTTGTCTTCGGAGATATATTTCCATATTCATCAGCATACTTGGGCCTTCAGTGAGGCAGCGTGTTTTTTTTACTTGAAGAAGTCTACAGTGGCTACATGTTGGTAGGCATTATAGCAAGACACCAGCCACTGCTTACCTCCTCCTTGCTCAGACAAATGATGCTGAAAACACAGCAGTAGCAATTTTGTTCACCCTGTAGAAAGCGTATTCTTTTCTCACACGTTCCCAGGTGAGTGGAGCCCTTTGAGAACATTCCCATCAAGCATTTAAGCAGTCTTGACTTATCCACCCAGTACAGCATCTGTGCACGACTTAAGCATTCAAATGGAAACCTTTGAGACAACATAAAGCTGTAAGCCATGAGCATTCCCTGTGCTACAGGAACTTGTTTTGAGAGGAGTAACTGGAGGTTACTATCTCGGTCAGAAGGCTTTGACCACAGGCATTGCTGGGAGAACAGCATGGCTCGTACCCTGTGGTTTGACTCCTGCACTGGTTGGCTCATGGAGCACAACGCATCATTACTATCCTCCAGTTAGTGTTATTATGAAAGCTGTCAGATTTAACTGCTGAAGGGAGCTCGCTTAACTGTTGCCATGGTAATATGAGAACAGCAATGTGGTAGTTTTCATCTCTATCCCATGTTCAGCTGAATTCTTATGTAGTCATTTCACTATGAGGTGAAGGTACCACATTGTACCAGGCCTGGCTTTCTTTCAAGTTAACTAGGGACAAATGAGAAATGTACCAAACCCCGCCTTTGGGGATGAAATGCAAGTCCTAGGGAAAACTGATCGAGTTCTCTGTGCTTATGACTTGATTCTGTTGGCACTCCTGTATGTAAAACTGCCCCTCTGGAGTTCCTGACCGGCTCTTCATGCCATCATGCCATTTCTTGTAATTGCTTTGGAGCAGGCTGTAATAAAAAAGCTTGTACTGCAAGCACAAGCTAGAAGTTTAGTCACAGGAATGAGTTTACTTTAGATTTTTATTTCCTCTAGGAGGAGAGAAATGCAAACACTCATCGCTAGAAGTTCAGACGATGCTTTCTAATTTGGCCTCACTTACAGAGCTTTTCTTTATGACTAAGCCTGCCCTATTTATATGGGACATGTGTACTTCTTAACCTGTATGGTGTTGATCAGCTGCTGTGGTTTTCATTTTGCTTTTTTTTTTTTTTTTTTTTTTTTTTCCTTCCCCCCCACATTCAAGAGCTTTTTTAACTGACCTACTGCAAGGTTGCTCTCTGCAGCCCTCCCCCATCCTCCTGCCATAGAAAGCCTTTAAATTCATTCTTGCCTTGGGTATGAAGTAAAGAGCTTGTTCTCTGCTTCCTGACCTACATTTACAAGTACAGCACTGCCTGGCTGGCGGTGCAGCTCCGTGCCTCTCTCCTCTCCCTGTGCTCTCCTTCTGAGTGGCCTGCAAAGCAGAGCTGGACATGGGATTCTGGAACGAATGGGCTAGAGATTCCATCTGTAGTAATACAGCAAATGCCATGTATGATAGGGATGATCCCCAGTCTGAAATTACTGGGTCAGGAAGGGTAAGGCTCTGCTCTACCTAAAATCCCACATTGCTTTCTAAGAAAAAAATCAGAAATGAAAAATGAAGATAATGCTTTTAAAATTCCATAGCTGTAGTTATCATAGTGTAAATAAATTGTCCAATGGTTACTTGTGTTATCTGACAGCATGAAGTAAGGATTGAAAAATGTGTTCTCAAAATGGAAAAAAAAAGATACAAACAACTGTTGATGCTTTAGCAAAGCAGTTACAAAGCTTGCTAATAGCTTGAATGTAAGTAGTAACTTCTGTGTTAGTGTCATCTCTCTTTCATCTCCTCCTGGAAAGTTTTTACAAATGGCAATGGGCATTCATTCTACGGATAAGGTTGTAGGTGTTTTGTTGTTGTGTTGTTTTTGGTTTTTTTTGTTTTTTTTGTTTTTTTGTTTTTTTTTTTTTGCAGTGTGGGACAATGTAGGTATTTGAGATCTAAGTGTGATGCGGTATTTCGATAGTGTATTGGGACAATGAGCAGGGATGGTGTTGGGGCTGTCTACAGCAATGGCTTCTAGATTCTTTCCCCATGCTCAAATCACACCTGATCTCACATTGATTTTGAGTCGTAATATCTGATGATATGTTGTTAAATTTGTAAAGATGGCCTAAAACACATTGACTGCATTGCAGAGAGAGCAAGTTTTTAAATCACTGTTTTAGTCTGCTTGACCTGACAACCAGTCTGTCTTATTTTCCTTGATCACTGCCACGATATAATTTTAAATTCTAGAGCAGAGAAATAATTCATAGTATTTACATAAATATCTTAATGGACACTAATCTTATTTCATTTCCTCAAAGGAACTACTGAGGCTTGGAATGCCTTTATGTGTAGTTTTTTTCCACATAGAATAGATCATGAACCTCACCTGTGAGAAATGGATCAGTGGTTGGGAATAGGGTCAGCTTTCTTACTCCGGCAGCTGTACTTGTGCGATTTCCATGCTCAAATGCGATGTGGAATGATCTGCAAATAATTCTGTTTACTAATACAATTGGAGACCAACAAACCTGTTGTTGGTGTAAGATACTTGTGGAACTTTATTTTGGTTGTCTAATATGAATGCTTAAATTCTTAGTTGAAAGTTAAATGAAGAAATATTACTAAACTCATTTTACTTGGTTCTCTTGCTTCGTTTTACCAAAGTATTTCTTTGCTGTGATGATGGTGCTGATGATGATTATTTTCTTTAATAAATTTAGAGTCATGTTAGATGTTTTTGTATTTCTTCTCAAACTGAAACAAACATACAGAGACATTTAAAGAGAAAATTACACAAATCTTGGTAAGCAGACTAGTGTTTTTTGTTTTTTACTGCATTGCAGATACATTAAACTCAGATAGAAACTTGTATCCTACTAACAACGCATTTTTAGTCCTGCTTTATGTTGGATAGGATGTGTGAAAACTTGTCAGAGGTTTTAATGACATTAGTAATTGCACTGTTTTTTAACATCAGCTGTTTTTGTGCTCTTCTACATTGGGTAAATAGCTTCAACTCAAGCTACAGAGTGGTAACAACACAAAGAATGCAAAGAGATCTTTCATTCTGTAATTGCATATTTCACCATACAAGCTCTCCCTCCCATTTCTGAAAGCCTCATAACAGACTGCAAGAAAACAATACTTGGACACAAAAGATTTAAGTAGCTGTTGACTGTTTAGATAATGGTTTGAGTATGTTATGTTTATAGATTATTTTCAAATTATACTCAAGTACTAATTCAAACTTCTAAAAATTGTCAGGCTATTAAAAGAACATTACAAATGGCTTTTTTTTTCTTTTTCTTGCATCATCTTATATTTTAACTAGAAAGAAGTTCAGTGTGCTGAACTCATAGGTATTGTAGCATAATTCTGCCAAACTCGGGCAGATTGGTACCGTGTATGAGCTCCAAAGTGGAGTACCCGAGAGGTTGTTTGGCTGCCAAACTTCATAATTAAAGTGCCAAACTATTTAAGGTTTAGTTATTAACCTCTTGGACAATGTCCAGAAGCCAGTAGCAGCATTTTGAACTAGCCAGAGTTGGGAAAATCCAAGTAGAGTACATTATATTACATTCTAGCTTGAAAGTGCTGAAGGCAGGGAATGGTGTTGAAGCCACCTCCAGGAGGGAGGACTGTGTCCTTGGCCAGCATGACTCAAGGAGAGGATGCTTGTGTGACTGTATGTCTTCTACAGCCAAATGCTCCTGGGTGATACGTGGCTTTCTCTAGTCATCTAACAATTGCTTGTGATTGTTCTAAGCTCCTGTAGCATAGTAATAGTTAATAAGGGTATAGTTAACATAAGCCAGGCAGCTTTCAGCTGATGTATTAGCTGTGGCTTGTGTTAGCTCAGAGTGTGAGGAGAACTACAAATGAGTGTTCAAAGAATACTCCCAAAGACATTTTCTGTTGCAGCTGTGTCACATTAATGCCAGTAACTTTCAATGAAACTAAGTCAGTGCACTTTCAGTCTGGTTAGTTTGAGAAGACCTTTGTGCAGATATTTACTATTAAACACTCTTGCTTTCCACAGAAGTGCCCTCTATTATTTGAGGTATGTAGGAAATGCACAAACACATGATTATCATACCTTAAATACAGTGAGTGATGGTTTATTGGAGGTCCATGCAAAAAAAAAAAAAAAAAAAAGGATGAAGAGCAAATTCCAATAGCCTTCTTCAATAGGACTTCCTGGCATTTTGTAGGAGTGCTAGTTCAGTGTGACACCGTCTGCTTAAATGTGTGAGGTCCTGGAAATAGACACTCACAGTGTTGCTGAGTGCTCACTTATACCATTCATCTTTTCATTACAAAGGAAAACAAACACCTTTTGGAATCTCTGTATCTTTACGTGGAATGAAAATTCCCCTAAGAATTAGGGGAAATGAGGAAAAGTCAGGTAATGCTGGCAAATTATTTCCTCCTGATGAGTAGCTTTACCATTAATAAGTGAAGTCTGAAGGGCCATAAATATAATCAATTTTATTAAATAATAAAAGTACATCAAATAATTGTGTTTTATCCAATTAAAAAGTACCGGTCAAACAAAACTAATCACAGTTCCATCCTTATGCTGCTAAATCACAGGTGAGTGTTGCTTACTGTGACAAGTAGCAATAACCTGATTCCGATGCAACACTGCTTCACTGGAAAAGAAACTTTGAAAGTTCTGCTTGTTTAAAAAATGTGAAAACCTGCAAGTAGATTTAGCCTACCTGCAGGTAGATTTAACCTACCTCTCCCATCTTGTTTTCAGTGACAGATGTTGTAGTTTTAATTTTTAATTTTTCTTCCATTTTGTTTTTGCCCATAATTCTATCTGGAAATGTCAGTCTAATGGCAGTCCTTTCTTTCTGTAAGGTAAAGTTTGGCTTAATTTACTCTTGCAGTCCTATTTTAGCTTAACTGATCCTTTTTCTGATAGGCAGTAAGTAGTAAAACAAATCAAGATTGAGTTGGTTTTCTCCCTCTTTGTACAAAATGGGACATTTTTGAGACTATGATGAAAGGCTTTTGCTTTTCTTTTTAGCCTTTGGAGCTGTCTTGAAGTTATGTGAGAAAATAAACAGCAGATTGAATAAATCTGCATGTAGGTGCCAGTGCTGCTTGGCACCTGGATTCAGTGGCTCACCCTATAACTTGTAGAGAATAACTTGGAAGAGAAACTAGACCTGAATTGAGAACACCTGCTGTGAGTTTCAGTAGGAGATGTGCAAAGTAGTGGTTTTCTGAGCTTTGTTTTCATTTATTCTTTTTCCCTAGCCAAAAAAGCAACCTTGCTAGAAGTGGACTTACTTGAGCGAAGCACTTTTGCATTGTTTTAGAGTTTGTTTAATGGTGTCTTAATTTTAAACGTGTTGCTGCTAAGTGTACTGCATTTCTAAGAAGTGTGTAGTAATTTTCATGTGGTATTTGAAGGTAAGATTCATCTCCCCTTTGTGCATTTCCTTTGCTTCTTGTTTTTTGTTTTACTAATAGCAATCCTAGACAAGAAATTGTTACATTTAAAAGAGCAAGAGCTATGAATGCATTGTCTTAAAAATAAAATTTGTGTGGAAAATATGCTCAATTAGATTTTATTGGTACATAAGTCTGCAATTGTACCACTGGAGTGTGCATGCTTATTATTGCACATTAACACAGAAAATCATTATATCTCCATTGTCTTTTTCCTCAAATTTGCTGGGAAAACCTTTCGGTTATGGTTTTATAATATTAGTGTTATCAAGAACTATACTTTTTTCAAATTAAAAAAATAATTTTCAGACTCCACTATGTGATGGGCATCAACTAAAGGCTGTCCCATTAAGCTCATCCATTTTCACTGTACATGCGTTCAGCAATATTTACAAATTGCACATGGAATACATTTGACAGAGGGAATGTTGTCCTTCTAGTGCAGTTTACGATGGCGATACCTGCTTGCTTTCTCTTTTGCTGCATTGGCGCAGGCATTGTGCTTATTCTGTTGTAAGTGGTTCCAGTATTTGATCAGTTCACTAGGTTGGAACTGATGGGAGGTAATTAGGTGGCTATATTTACAGCTGGAGTAAGAAACTCGCCAGTGATTGAAGACAAATTCGTTGGGTGGAGGCATGGGGTCAATTCGCAGCTTGGCAAGGCAGATCCCCACATATACATCCTCTAAATGTAAACGTCTGATGCCTAGGGAGACTTTAAAGATTTTTTCTGCTAAATCTCCAGAAAAAACGTAACCTGTTCCAGAGCAGAATACAGGGTAACGTTCGCTTGGATACAAATCAGGTGGCATATACCACTTGCTATCCTTGTTCCTGTTAGGCGCATAACCTCTCATTAAATATCCTGTAAAATATCTGTGCCTCGGAGGAAGCTCTGGCTTCAGAAGCTTGTGTATTAAGTACTCTGTATTGACAAACATATCGCTGTCAGTTTTCATGACGTAGGGAACGCTTGGACAATGGGATGCAACCCAGTTCATTCCCATCAGAGTTTTAATGGTTAAATTATAATAGGTATCCAAGTACTCTTGTTGGATGATGTCGTGGTACTGTCTGCTTTCCTCCTGTATGGTACGCTGGAGGTACCCGCTTGTCTTGGTACTTAGCCCCAGCAAGAAGATGCGAACAATTTGAATGCCAGGCGTCAGGCTTTCATTACCCCAGGTCTGTCGAATGGCCTGTCTGGCTTCCACTTGGCCAGGCTCTGCAGCTATGAGCAAAATCAGGAAAGGGACCTTCTCCTGGCATTTTTCAGGCTCGTTGATGATGTATTTGAAGTGATATGAGGTTGGATGCCCTGTGCCTTTCTCATTGTAAATACTTCCGTTAGCGCTGAGGGTGTTTTCCAAGCCGGTTACTCCTTGCGGCGACAGGTCAGTGTTGTTGGGGTTGGTGACTGTTTGAGGCCTGAGGGTCTGAGGTACGGCGTCTTTCCACATGTTCCGTAGAGAGCTGTGGTTCATCTCGCTTTTTGTAGATCTAAATCCTCGGATTGTGTAAGTCATGGGATTTTCTCTAAAGCTCGCCCTGCCTGGCAGCCAGTCGTGATGGTTGAAAAAGAGAAACACAGCAAAAAGAAACACGAGGGAGATCAGGCCAATAAGATGGGTGCGAAAAAGCGACCTTTTGGTATTCCAGGTCATCTTTGCAAGGCAGCAGTGTCGTCTTCTCCACTGAAGCATGTTGTAAGAATCCAACAATGGGGTGTGAGACAATGGCCAAGCAAAATGCTGTTTGCTTCCTTTCCAAAACCACTGCTATTCTTTGGTATTCATTTCCTTCTGTTCATGTCGAGTAATTCTCTGCAAATGGCTCTCTCTGGAAGGGTTTAAAGAGAAAACCAAACACATTTTTTATTTTACCTGCACATAATATGAGGCTACAATGAGAAAATAGATAAAATAGATAAAATTGAGCTTTGTTTTTTGAGGAAGCAACACATAAATAAGGTCTAGGGTGGTTTTTGTTTTGTTCTGTTTTGATTTTTTCCCAAAAGCCAAGCTTGTTTTACAATCAAAATTACTTGCTTTGTTAGGTTTTTAAAGTGCATACTTTTATGATAGAAGTTCTGGAAAGCATCCTGGGTACCAAAGATGAAATAAATAGGGAAAAAAAATTATGCTTGCTGGGAAAGTGTAAAGGAGTCTTAAATAGCATCATATTTACTGACTGTGAAATCCTTGTGCAGTGCTTGAGGAGGGTTGAATGAGAAGAACTCAAGAGCAGCTGGAAAGTTTATTGGCATTAATTAAAATGGATGTGATGTGTAGAGGCTAGTATGGCTCAGTTTAAAACTCCTACAGTAAAATGGTTGTGTGGTGGTAGTGGGACAGACGCTGCAAGGTTGATGATGGCAGAGTTCTGTTAGTCACAGTACACTGCCTGACGTGTCTCCACCGGCCCTGACTGTGTTCAGAAAGTCAATGAGAGAAGGTGCACCTGTCAAAATTAATTTTCAGGGTCCAGTAACCTCTCTGCACAGTGCTTAGATGGTAACACACAATAACAATTTTGGTCACCTTTCAGACACCTTTAACCCTCTGCTCCGCAATGAAAGAGCATTGAATATTTGGCTTTCGTACCAAGCTGGCATGCAGTTGATTTACTGTTAAGCTGTTGAGTTGTAGTGGATAGAGATCTTAAGTAAATAGTGACATCAACATGAAGTAAAGCTGCACAGCAGTAAGTTACTTTCTGGCAAGCTGTCTGATGAATGTGATTTTTGGTTTTTGTTTCCTCTGAGAATTTAAATGTAACTACTATACTTCTATTATCGTGCAGAAAGGTGAAGTAGTGGTAATAGCAGCTGTAACTGTAGGAAAGAGTGCCAAAATAGTCTGCAGTTCATTTTCTCCTAAATTTTTTTTTCATATTCAAGAGCAGAGTCAATATGGCAGCTTCATGATGCTGCATATTAAAAGCTGATCACATCGTCTCGAAAATGAGCCTTTCACTGCACAGTAGCAATTCGTTTGTGATTTTCAATTTGCTCTAATTTATTCCTGGGCCCTAGGGTTTTGTATAGGGAAAAAAGGATGACAGCTGAACAAGGCTTCCACAGAAAATGCTATTTTTAATATAAATGTGTAATTTCTTAATTACTTGGCTATCTTTTAAAACCAATATTTGGATTAATTTCTGTGTTTAAAAAGTAAGTAACATGTTATATGGGGAAATTACACGATTTTGCACAGTAAAGAAGTAATTTATGAAGAGATGGCTTTTGAATAATATATTACTGTGTGTGAGTAACATTCAGTTTGCTGAGTTAATGCAAAGGAAAAATGAGATTTCAGAAAGGATAAGGACAGGTGTGTAACTAAACTTCATTTTGATTACTGTGTGAGTTTATATGTAAATAGAATAACCTATATGCAGAAGACATTGCTCAGTATTTAGAAGCAAGGAGGAACTACTGCTACAGTTACAGAGTTGAAACTGTAGTTTGTCTATCTTATTAACCTCCACCAGGAGGAGCAAGTAAGTGGGGATTTTAACGGATTTGTAACCATAAACGTTATCTAAAACGGCAACAGTTTTCCTTACTTCTGAGTGAAAGGGCGAAATATTTGCCTAGTGATACATTGAACTCTTCCCTGCCGTGCTGTTACGCAGATGTTAGTGAGTTGTGTTCTGAAAATATTTGGGATTTTATTTTTTCCTGAGCTACCTTTCTTAAAAATTATCTTCCAGCCTTCAAATGCTAAGCCTGTACTTGAAGTATGCTGTTTGAGAATTAATCTCTAATTCCACGCTGCTCTGTTTCTTGGCTCAGAAATTATACCTTAAATAAAAAGGAAATAAGCCCCCAATGGGGAAGATGTGTGTTTATCCGACCGCTTGCACCTTCTTTTACATGCCTAGAAAATAAAAGCCTGCTCTCCAAACATAATTCTTACTTTCTCTGCAGTGTGCAGTGTTTTAAATGAGCACTCAGCTATTTGGGATGAATATCGCTGCATGAGCAAACATAAATGTCACTTCAAAGGATATCCTAGATCTCAGGGAAACTAATTGTTCGATACGGGTTTGGGAGGCAGCAGTGGGAATATTTGATTAATTGCCACTGCGTTTCATGTGCATGCAGCTCAGGAAGAAGTGAAAACAAGAATTTCATGAGGAGATGAATGCAGAACAGCAGCTGTAATTCAGAATTAACTTCGCCACGCTGAATTATGCACTATAAAACTTCAGTCATTAGGTGCAAATACTTTGGCAAATCTGCACTGTACTACTCAGCTGTTTTTAATTTTTATTTGAAGTAGTGTTTTCTTGTGCCACCAATTTCACACAGGAAAAGAGAGAGTCTTGTTATAGGAACATTTGTGTGAACTGAAAACTGCTTGCAGGTGCTGCCTTTCTTTGTTGCACAGAGAAATTGCCCCAGAATGGGGTTGTAATGTGTGAAGTGTTTTGTGGCTTTATTAGATTGCACGCTCACATACTGCATATTAAATCTCTTATAGTCTTAGTCTCATCTCTCATCATAAAGACTTTTTTATAAAGAGAGTCCTCTCTCATTTGCATGTTTGCTAGATTTTTTCAAGGTGGAAGTTTCCTGGAGAGTCTTAGATCCCTGATTGCCCTTTCAAGAGGCTCTATATGGATAAAGGAAGGACCCCCCCATCTGTTTCCTAGCTTTATAGAAATTAAAGCTAGAAAAAAAAAAACACCAAGTAACACTGTATATCAGTTTGTTTGCAATACAGGTGTAAAACATCTCAAAATATGCAGTGGATAATAAGCTTTTGAAACACAGCAATTGCAACAAAGCAGAAAGCAAATTACTAACTATAGCCCAAGGTCTCCGTGCAGTCACCTTGTGCTCTGAAAGCATGTTGTTGCATACAGCTGTGCCTTTTGAAGATAGGACTTATGATGGCTCTTGAATTTTGGCACTTGGCTGTGCAGTCTCTGATGTATGATTGAATGCCAAATATATTCACTGTGAATGCCTCTTGAGTTTTTATTTGTGGTCTGTGCTCTACTAGTGTTGTACTTTCGGTTCTGCTCTATAATTACAACTTTGCAGTCTGAAGCATTCGACTCCCTGTTTACACGTTCTGCATTTTCATATTTTGATTTGTGGGCAAACCTTTTAATCAGGGGGAAGAGTTCAAAGGAGCCTGAGCCGGTGTTCTGATGAAGAGCAGCAGCTGTGCTTTAGGCCTCACAGAGTCATGCCCTGGTTCACTCCAACTGCACTCAGTTTGTGCTCAAAACAGGCAATAATCAAGATAAGCTCTGATGTTTAGGTTTTGAAATGTCAGATAGGAAAGTGGCACTGCTGGGAGGCATGCTGCTCTGGGAGTGCTGCTGGAAAACAGGGTCTTTTTTTTTTTGTTTTAAAACTCCTGGAAAGGCTTTAAAAGTGATGTGAGCCAGGTGAGTGCCTTGCACAAAGTAAACACAGCTATGTTGACAGATTAATGATTTATTACAGCTTATTGGTAGGTTCTGTAGAGAAGCATTTTCATCCCATAGTGTATTAAATTGCTATACGTTTAGATCTTAAATTTGCACCGTAAATAGCGAGCTGTCTTCCTGCTTGTTTGCCACAATTGATGAAGTATTTAAATTAAAACAAAATGTGGAAATGAATGACAATTAGACTGAGTGCCATTTTGCAATCCAAGTTAAACAGTCAGTGTTTTCATATTAAACAGAGATCGTAATGATGGCATGAGGTAATTTACGTGCTCACCATTTTGAGTGCACAGTGTGTGAAGGTTTTCTTTTGGGATGTCAGTGGAGCCTGATGTTACTTGTAAAATGTGGTGCCTGATTGCGCTGCTGATGGTTTAGATCATGTCCAATCTTTTGCACGCTCCCAAATTATGCTTGGTCAGTATTAGCCTGATGACATTTTGCTGAGTTTAAGGGGAGGTGGGGGGGGGGGGAAGCAAATGTGAGAAGGGTCTGAAGGTACTCCTTAGATAATGTAATTTGACTGCATGGTCTGTTTTGATGGTTCTCTGTGTGTGCCCTATCATGGCCGTTTTATCAGTGCTTTAAGATTACTTCCGATAAGGATTAATTCTGACCTACTTTGAGAGGATTTCTAACTAGTTTTTTTTTTTTCCCTAAATTGGAGGGGTTTAAGTTTTTAATTTCTCAGTTAAATGCAATCATTACAGCAGCCACATTATCCCTTTAATCCCTCCTGTACCCACAGCAGGCTGTAAGCAGTACATTAAACGTGTAAAGTAGTGACATTGTTCTGCACGGTGAAAGGAAAACCTGCTGGAATTTTTTCCACTGCTCACAGACACCTTATCTCTGGGCTCTGCAAATTAGGAATGATCATTATCTGTAATGGCTGAAAGGTAACAGACAATTGAATGAATATCACACACAAGGATTTGACATACCTTCCCTGGTCAGGCCATTTATGGTGCGAGGATTATACCCACAGAAAATAGTTTTGGCACGCCATCACTTCAGCAAAAAAGATGCTATCGAACATGCGCACATCCCCCAACAGTCTGCTTCCTGCGATTGCTTTTCACAGTATCCAATCTGTCCATCTGTCGGCTCGTTGCTGTGTTACCTTCCTTGCTCATAAGTGTTGTCCTTGTCTTGGGGCTTTTTGTTCATCCTTCAAACAAAAGGACAGTAGTTCTTGTTCGTGCTCGGCGGTCGGGGCTGTCTGGCGTTCCCAGCCGATAGATTGGAGCTTTTACATCTGGTGTTTCCCTTGTCGGACAATGCAGTGCTGTGTTCTCCTCTTCCCAGTATCCATATTTCTAACGGTAATGTTAGCAGTGAGTGCTAGCACGTAGTGGTTCAGTTGCCTTTAGTAATAGGATTTGTCTCTCTTCCCTCCTTCATTGTTGCTAGGCAGTAGTAGAAATGGTTTTGAGCTGTTTTAACTGAGAATTCTGGTCTATTAAATCCATTCCCGGAGTCCTTCGGCTGCTGCACAGGCAGGCAGCAGTTTAAATGTGGGCTTTGACAGATGCTGTCTTCTGACAGAGCAGAATTTAACGTCACTGCTTGGCTGAATCCCACGTGATTGTTTGCATTCATTTTGACTAAACCCAAAGGCAGCCAGAAACCTTCACAGACTCTTCCGCCTATTTGATAAATGATACATATTCAGCACAAGCACGATGATAGGTGAATAGTATAAAAATTGTATGATGATTAAATGAATGATTGAGGGTTTTTTCAAATTGTTTTCACTTTTCCTTGACACTGTAACTTATGATTCTCTGGGGGATTTTTAATGTGAGATGTTCTATTTCAGTATTCCAAGGGCTGTTCTGCTTTGCAAAGGAATTAGAAGCATTTAAACACCACAGCTTGATTTAACCCATTTGGTGCTCTCAGTAAAAAAAAATTTTTTTGTGCTTCTATGGTGAGGAAAAAATATATTTCTTTGCTCATACTTGCTTTACGTATTTCATATTTTTACCGTATAAAAGCTGCTTTTTGTAACCTTTGGTTACAAAAAGCCAGTTGAGTTGGAAGACATTCATGTATTAACTGTTAAGCCTTATTTCTATTATTGATGGATCAGAAAGTATCTTTCTTACATTACAGGCATATCTGTACCATAGAATGTTTTTCTGCTCCTAATGGAATTTGGGTTCCTGTCAGTAATTTCTGTCCTGTCACTAACTGGCCATTCTGTGCTGACACACCTCGTTATTTTTGCTGTATGCTTTAAAAAAATCTCTCGGTAGGGGATGCTGAAGATGGCAAGCTAGCAGCATTCCTACCCAAGTGTTTGTCCATCCTTTTTTGAAAAGAGAATGAATTCAGTGCTTTGGATTGATTTTTTTTCTTTGTTTGTTTAGCTAAAGGATAAAGAAAATATAATGGGTCTTTCATATGGTATCTCTGGTTGGATTGGGAAGGTGCTTCCTTTGCTAGCTCATAATGATTCTTCAGACAGTTGCTGTGTTTTACTATTCTAGATGCATGATCTGGTGACTTACTAGAAACAATATCGGACTTATATTCCCCTAAATCACCTATGCATACTTTCTCTGTTAATTTAGTCTTGTATTTAATGTATGCGTTTCCTATTCTAATGACATTTTCTGCAAATCCTATCATCTTACCTAGGACTGTTTTAGGAACATGGCGATATTTCCTAAGTGTTTAATACAAATAAAACTTCTCCATTCTAGAAATCTTTAATTTCAGGAAAGCTGGAGGATGGGCTGGGAGGCAGCTAGCGAGGGAATGGAGAGGGAGAGGAGATGCTTCCAGCCAACACTGCTTACTGCTCTGGGACTTCAATGTCTAGTTCAGAACCGGTGTTTTCAAAGAATGAATGTGTGCCCCTTCTACTGGATTTGCAATTTAAACACACAGTTTATGTTTACATTTCTGTATATTACATAGGGTATGTAGTCTGTTGCTGTGTGTGTGTGAGGTTAGCAATGTCAGCTTGCTGTGTTCTGGACTCCCAGCAGGCAGTGAGATACTCATGTGGTTAACTTAACCTCTGTTGACTTACTTTGATGTAAGTAATGTAAATCTTGACTGATTTTTCAATCTTCAGATCAGACATATAAGAATGTACTTGAGAAACAAGTCTAAATCTCAACAGAAAGCTCACTTAGATCCATAGTGTTTCCACTGACAAAAGTTTCTGCTGGCTTAATTTACTCATGTTTCTATCCTTCCTAAAGTGCATGTCCAAAGGGTCGTGAATTCTAAGTAGCACGTTTACATGCTGATGTTTGTCTCTTCCCATAAATGCTAATATTGAAGGTACAAAAACCTCAAGGGCCATTTACTTTCCAGATAGAAGGCAATGACATTAGTTCTGGCTTTTAAATTAAATGACCATATCACTTGTGCATAGGCTGTAAAGTTCAGGCAGAACTGTTATGTGTTGCTATGTCAAACTTGACATCTTGCAACGTGAACAAGCTGAATCTGGAATTTTTAAATCTTAGTAAACTATTTCTTCTGATCACCCATTGTTTACATTTAAAGGATGAGCAGGTCTTAGTTTATCTTGTGGAAGTGTAAAGAAAAGCCCCTTTCCCTGCCCCCCTCCTACCTCCCTTCCGACTGATTTCTATCTGTGTATGTGATGGTAGGCTGAGATAGTCAACATTTCAGAAAAAGACTTCCTTTTATAGAACTTTTTTTAGTACTTCTATGCAGTACTGTGTGTTCCTGGGTGTTTCAGGAGGGCGGAACTTGCTTTGCTCTGTAAGTGTGACCTGAAGGTTTAAGTATCTTGCTGTGGTAATGGATTGAAATGAGCTTTATTTTGGCCAACTCTCACTGTGAAGGGTCAGTGGTCTGCTTGTTCTTGATCCAAGGAGTAGTATGTTCTCTGATGTTGCCATGGTTACATCTTAAATTAGAAGGTGCAATGTTGGTGTTTGAAATACTTAGATCTACTAAGGCTAAGGAGGAGTTGTAGTGATGTGCAGATGTGCTGTGTGAATGTAAGGAATGCTGTAGAGTTAACATGGCCAGTGCAAGGTTGACTGTGTAGTGAGTTATACCAAGTTAGAAGCAGATGCAGGAAGTCATTTAAGGTAAGCAGAGTAACTTGTGCACAAGACTGATAATTGTGCAGAATATCTGTGCAAAGCAGAGGTGTGTGACTTGGGAATATTTTATCCAGAAATCTTGAAAAACTTACTTTGTGTAACTTTTAGGGAGCAGTCATATCTTGTCAAACTAGTTTTAAGATAAACTAGAGCCTGGGAAGGAGCCATTTAAGTAAAGCTTTCTCTTGGCAGCAGTAACAGAAGTTTCTCAAATGAGTTTACAGTGGTTGCAACAGTCAGGTGTACTGCTTAGAAAGATAATTTTCTGCTTGATGGCTACAAGTCCCCTGAAAGTTAAACTAAATACGTGTATCACAGCTGACACGTAAATTGGATCTTTCTATACGAGTCATGCTTTATGAAAACTCCGCAAATACTCTGCAAAGATTATTGCATTTTATCAGTGTAGAATGTAGTATTATTTAAGTTTCAACGTGTTGAAAACCCTGTTAATTGACAATTCAAAATGAGTAATAACAATGTTTTCAAGGGTGGTTATTTTTACTTTGAAACTTTTCTTTTTCCCTCTGGAAATGTTTTCATACAGAACGTCATAAATGCTGATCTTTAACTGTGTTAAGAATTATACATACAGCCAGTGTGGCCGTTGGTCTTAACGATCCAAAAAGGATACTTTTCCAATATATTGTTTAGAGCAGAGGGGATTACAGAGTATTTCTAATCTGAGTGCCTACTCTGTGATCACAGTGTATTTCTTAACTATCAGAAGCATGTTTGTAACTGAGTGAAAAACAGCAATCTAGAAACGACCACAAGTGTCAGTATTGCCTGCCTTTATTTTTCTTAAATTTTCACTATTTCTTTGTCAGTTCTGTAACACATCTCGCACTTGCTGCGTTTTGTGTAAATGGTCAGGATTTTGCACTGTTCTAATGGCTCCCAAGTGTTCCTACTAACCTTTGGACGTATAAAATGTAAAACACAAGTACAACAGTATAGATCCATCTTCAGTGGCTATGGAAGAACAGAAAGGGTTTCCGATAACTGAAAGTGTGTACCTATTTTTATGTTCTCTAATGAGTAGTTTATAATTGTTCTAATCAGTCAGTAAGCAATTTAAGCACTTTGCAAAATTGTTAGGGAGAAAAGACCGGATGATCTCTCAAAGGCAGGAGGGCTTAGTCCACCATCTGCCCAGTGAAACATTTCAAGGGGATTTTTCACAATTGAGTCTTTTTCTAATAACTGAACAGACATTCCAGCTACCCAAGAGGAATTAACTCTCAGGATTTCTTACAGCTTCTTATGAAGAGCACAGGTCTGGAGTGCTTCAAAATGCAATTGAAAAGCCAAAATGCTGTTGCTTTCAGTCTACTACTCTGTTCTATTTTTGCATTATATGCAGATTTTGCGTATGTGCTGTTTAGAAACAAAGCAGATCTTCTCTCAATAATATAGTTTTGTCTCTCACAATTTTTTTTCTTTACTATATTCGGATTTTTTTTCATGTCTTTCCCCCAGGCTTTACATGCAATTATTGCTGATCTTAAGTGCTAAATGAAGATTTTCTTTCCAGGGGATGGACAAAATTTCATTTAGATTGTGCAGCATCTTTGGTCGTGCAGTTCTCCCCTGTTGAAGTGACGTGCCAGTGGTAGCATTTTCTGCCTGTCACAAGTGTTCTTTTTGCATTCTGAGAAGAGCAGGGACTTTATGAAGCTTTGATTCAGCACAGCAGGGAAGAGAAGGCCAATGAGCACAAGTACCAAACATTCAGAGGCAGTTTAAAGACTGTGGAAAATAAACTTACTCTGCTAGTCTTATGAGACTTTTTCTTTCCAGGTGTCTGCTCTATAAGATCAGGTAGCCCCAGCCACTCTCCCTACACTCCCAGCATGAACTTGACACTTTTTAATGAAAACAGAAATTGTTACAGAAATTGAGATTTTTGGGGAAGAGCTTGGCTGTTGCAACCTGCTCAGCTCCTTCTTTCTGCACCATCTGTTCCCAAAAAAGCTTTAGAAAGACCTTTTCCTTTTGGCTGCCTTCTGGTTTTTAAGGCGTCCCAATGAATTGAAGAGCTGTGGCCCCCCAAGCTCACTGTCAGGGCACAGGCCTCTCCTGCCCACTTGGGCCGCTTCTTTGGGTTGTTGGACATGCTGCATGGATCCTTGTAGGCTGATTGAGAGACTTGCAGGTCTTGATGTTCATCTTCTCACCAACTGTTGTGGTTTTTTTTTCACCATTGTGCCTATGATTTGTATGAATATGGAGGCATTTCATCAACCTCTAAAATTCCTACTTCTTTGTAGTAAATAAAGTGGAAAATCATGATGTAGATATTCAGTTAGTGTTAAGTAGTACACTGAGTAGCTGCAAATCTCCAAGCTGCCCAAATTTCATCTGTTTGGGGTGTGAGACTTGTATTGATTCTTTCCATGTGTCGTATTTCCTCAAGAGCTTTAGTGCATGAGTTTCTGCAGCTCCATTCTGTAAGTATC